GTACAGTGAGTGTGTACAGTGAGTTGTCATTGAAAATTTGTTCTGATAAATGTTCTTCACAGAAAATGAGCCTAGGCCAATGAGTCTGAGTTTGAAAAAATAATTAACAGTATAATTTTCTTTTGATAAAAAGTGAAAACGGGTTCCACAGACCAGAACACCACACTCTAAAAAATGTTGGGTTAAATACAACCCAGTGCTGGGTAAAATAGGGACAAACCCAGCAATTGGGTTGTATTTAACCCAACATTTTTTAGTGTATGATGTAATTGATTGGCAGTTCCTCTCTGCAGGTGTTAAATTTATGAAAACTTTTGAAAGACCAAAAAAGAAACCATTAAGCTATACCTGGCTTTGGGGGGGGAATAAAGAACCAACATAAAGAACTTTTTTGCATTAAGGATTAGGCATTTTGCATAAACCGAAGTACATACATTTTTCCGAATAGTCTTGATCGAAAGGCCAAAAAAAAAAAAACAACACCAACGTAGCTTTATAAGTAATATAGGCTATAGGTAGGCTATATGTGTGAGATGCATGTATTTCATTCTCCGAAATTAACAAATTATAATGATGAATAGCTTCATTATTTTTAGCCTATTTATTTATTTTATTGCTTATGTTCTTGATAATTTGAGGCACAGTTTACTGAGAGTGCGATTCCCGTGGGAAACTGTAACCAGTTCGTTTAGAAGTGAAAGAGCACACGTCCTTCTCTGCGTGAAGCTATTCTTATTCTGGTTCTTTTGACACATCTTGTTAACACCAAACGTGTGTCAGTGAACCCGTGTTCTGAACAAACGAAACACCTACTGGTTGCCGTCGCCGCCTGCTGGTTGTTTTAGGTTTGTAGTGAGGAAAAGAGCGTTTATTCCATAGTTGAAAGTTGCTATTTAAAGCCAGATCGAGATATATTCAAGATCAAAAATATAATATTTTCTACATAGGCCTAACTTCTAGAAAGATTATGGCTGCTGCTTGCGTGGGCGACAGGCCGCTCTATGGGATTTCAAACTTGTCAAACGTTTGATTTAATTGGGTTGGATGTAATTTAATTTTACTGGGTTTCATAAAATGATTTATTTTCAGATTTTGCAACATAGAACACTAGCTAGGCTATATATCTTGCTTTTAAAAGACAATATCAATTTCTGTGATTTCACGCAAGGCCTATATAATTTTTTTTTTTTAATTACGTTTGTTTATTTAATATTCCACGAAGAACCTTTTACATCCATGGAGTCTTTCCATTACATAAAAGGTCTATAGTTCAGTGTTCTTAAGATTATTAAAATGTTCTTCACTTAGCCTGGTAAAAATGATTACTGAAAGGTTTCCTGCAAGGAACCCAAAATGGTTCCAAAATCAATATGAAAACCCCTTTTTATTTTTAAGAGACCTGCTTTAAATTTTTGTGCGCTTGTGTAAATATTTAAAACTTGACAACCAAGAGGTAGGCCTATTTGGCACGTGTTATGATGGGAACCAGCTATTAACCACGCTCTCAGTAACACGGACTGCAGACACCTCAACTCTTTTTATTACCTGTCAGAATTTGTACATTTTCTCTGAGCACAGAGAAGGTTTCCAGTTCCCACGCTTCACTGCACGAGAACTCCAGAGCAGTCTGCGTTCACATATAGTCGTCATTTTCATCACTTTGGAAGTGTTTGCGATCAGCCATTTATAAATTACCGTCCACCAGGTCATGTATTTAATGTGATATTGCGTATACGTAACCTACAGACGTTTTACGGTGATATTCCTTCCTTTAAGACTGTCTATAAAGTTTCACTTTTTGTCCTCCGTGGCTTTCTTCAGATTGTACTCAGCGACCCTCATTAGACCTAGTCTGCATACACAAGATGAAGATTAAAGCAAATGGCACGTGCAGGGCCATTGTGAGGGTTGATGTGTTTGCTCGTATACGAATGAGAAAGGAGCAGACGAGACGAGACTAGACGGTCCTAAGGATACTTATGGTTCTACGTAAATCGTTTTAATAAACTATAACGACAGCGCGGAATGATTAATCTGCTGACTGTACCTAATAAAGTTAAAAAAATAACTATTCAAATAAGCAAATCCAATAAAAGCTCGGTTTGTGGGAAACGTCTCACTGTGGACACAAATCAAGACAATTTCAGTAATCAGTCATTTCGGGTCGGTTGGCTTGCGTTAGGTTTTGTTTGCAATGAAGAACCCCAAGAACATTATTTTCAAATGTTCCAAGGATAGAAAATGCATGTGCTTGGCAGTGAGGTATCACCTGAGATTAATTAACTTCAATTATGTTAGGCTTTTACTTCAGGGATGTCGCACAAAGGGCATCCAAAGGGCGTGCAATTGTGTAAATATTTAAAACTAACCAACAGGCAATCAGTTCAAGAGTGCTACGATGGGAAAAAGCTGCTAGCCACGCTCTCTCAGTAACACGAACTACTTACACCTCACCTAGTATAACACACCTCAGTCCTTTTTTTATTACCTGTCAGAATTTGTACGTTATCAGCAGACAAAGAGAAGGTTCCCACGCTACTCTTCAATAAACATGTAAGTGCATGGGAAATGCAGCCTGCGTTCACATATAGTCTCCATTTTCATCACTTCAACAGGATGAGTGTTTTGCCATTTAACTTGCGTCTCTGCATCAGTTCATGAACTTGCTGCTATAACTTGAGTGGCCTATGGAGATTAAGTTCATTTCTATATGATCACAGTTTGGTAAATGTCTTTGTTTTATCTTTTAACTTTCCCTTTCTTTGAACTTAGCCTATCCCCAAAAGTAATATCAGTAATAGCATTATGGGTGATTACCAGTGGTCTTGAGTCATGCAATGACATTACCAAAGGACATATAGAGGAGAGCAAGGATGGCAGCAGATTGGACTAACCAAGTGGTTAAGTGACCATTTTTTTTCTCTTGCTAGCTATGTCCAAGAACCTAATAGCCAACTGGGCTATCCAGTGAACAAACGGCCGTAAATTTCTGCAGGAACCATCACGGCTAGACACGTTCTGTCTTGTTAAATCAATCCTTGCAGCTTCGAGGGCGTTGAGCGAAGTTTTGGTGATAAGAAGAAGAGATGTATCTTCAGAAAATTAATGAACAAGAGCCTATTTACATGGGCTAGTGATTTCAGTGCCATGAATAATCAAGAAACCACGACTGCTTGCTTTTCATATGCGCGCGCTTTCATATGCACACGTGGGAACGGGTCACTCACGCTCGCGTTGTTCACAGGTGTGAAGTTGCCACGCGGCACGCGCCCTGCTGAATTATAAAGAGGTGTGAGCACACGTTTTCTTGCGACCCCCTAATGATTCACACCATTATGCTACAACTTTGAGTCTTTGAGCAAAACACACTTATTATAAAAAAAAGTGCAGTCACAAGACTGGCACTATGAAAATACAATTGGTTCATTTATTATTACGCATAGTGTGCAAACACTTGCCCTCTTCTTTTGTCGATTTTAAATTCCTTTTAAATAAGGCGCGTTTGAATCCTTAACATTAGAAATATTGCTGTCAAGCCTCATTTAGCCTAAATGAATTGTTTATTGTTTATTCATTAAAACCACCGTCAACATAAAAAAATAAAATCACTGTAAATGTTTCGTTGAGATACTGTTTCAAGCTGCTTTAAATATTCGGCACATGTAGGCCTATTAGGAGCTTCCAAAAGTTAAAATATGCTAAATAGCCTACATTTCGAAACCAAGCTGAGGCACAGCTAGACGCACATTCAATGCAACAGTGGAAATAAGACTTTGAAAAGTAAAAGAAAGTAGCTACTTTTCTTTTTGTTATTCCAATGGCATGTCTGGCCAGCGGCGCGTGGGCTATTGATATGCATATTTACTGTCAGTGTGACACTTATTTAATCATGCACACACGTGCCCACGGAAGTCTATAGGTGTCAGTGAGCGTGTTCCATCAGTCCTTTTGATCTAAGGCTGCCCTTAATGTCTCAGTGCAGATTATATGTTAGCTAACTACAGTCAACTGCACAAACGTAATTGGAAAACATAAGTAGGCCTATTTCTAATAAATATGTAAGCCAATACATACACTAGGCTATAGCCCGAATGCGATCACAGTTTAATGACCTCGATCTAATGTTTAAATTGCTGTCCGTCTAAATGGATACAACATATATGAGCTTAAATATTATAATGACTTTCAATATCATACCCTATATCTTTTTAGTGTTTCGTTCTTAGGTTTTTAGCTGGGAACAAGCAGCGCATTAGAGCACTGCGACTCTATGATTGGTCAATGATAGAGAGTGGGTGTGGCTTGTCAACCACGCGCCGAAGGCCTATAAATACGTGCGCTCAGGTTCAGCCTGGCATCTCACACTTGTCTGTGCACCTCGAAGAGAGTTCTTTTCCAGCATACCTAATAGAAGACAACTTGGACCTTTAAAGGATTGTATCATCTCTGATATAAACTACTGTTTGGAGTACACATGCAATGAAAATCCTCAGAGAGACTGAGACCATTAAAATGGACAGAAAGGTAAATATATATTTCTGTGCATTCTAACAAACAGAGGTCACACTGAGCAGACTGGCATGTGTATTTTAATATAACCTGACCTGTCCACTGACATTGGTCTTTCGTGTTTCCTGCAGCTGTTAAAACCTCAGGTAGAAAGACGAAGAAGAGAAAGGATGAATCGGAGTCTGGAGAACCTGAGAACGCTGCTTCTGCAAGGCCCTGAGCACAATGTAAGAACACCATACTTTTTATTTTCTCAGCATAATGTCATCTTTTAGTTATAGATCTATGTTCTCAGCTAAGTCCGTATTTCTAAATTATCCATATTTTTGCAGAGTCCCACTCAAAGGAGAATAGAGAAAGCAGAGATCCTGGAATACACCGTCCTGTTTTTGCAAAACTCTGTCGCTCAGGCCAAGAAAGCAAAAGATGTGGAAGGAGGAGAAAAGCGTCGGTTTATGGACGGCTTTTCATCGTGTCTTCAGAAAGCGGCCCGCTTCCTGTCAGCTGAAGGTAAGGCCCGTGGACTGGATGGTTCAGTAACCGCTATACTGTGTCAGCGTCTGACCCAGCCCTGCTTGTCGACCACCATCCGACTGCCTGTCAGAATCCAGAACTCGTCCAGAAAGCAGGTTCCAGATTCAAATGCACAGCATCATCTGCAGCATGACTCGGTCTCCAAACAAGGACTTCCAACAGCTTGCAGAAACGTTGTGCCACATCCAAACAGGATTCCATTCAGAAGCACAGACTCCAACACACTGCATTCGACAGCCCCACCAACCTCTCAACACCAGACACCAGTCAGCCAGACAGTCTGGAGGCCTTGGCCTTGAGAGAAATTAAAGACATTTACAGAGAAATGGACTCAAAATACTGGGCTTGTGTAATCATTAAACATGGTTCATCTCTTCTAAATTATAGGCTGCAGAGAGACATGTTTATTTCCAAAAAATGTTGTGTAATGATTTTATCATTTGACATCACGTTGGAATTGTAAAATGTGTAAATAGTGTATGATAAATGATGCAATATATTTTTACACTGATTTTTTTTTTTCGTCTTTTTTTGCATGATCTGTACTGGGTGTATGATCATTTGTAATACATAGCCGATGTATGTATTTATCTAATTTGCACATTTATTTATTCATGGCATTCCCTTTTTATAGTTGTATATTTGGGGGATTGAAACATAGGCTACATTCCATCATTAAAATTTAAAAATGAAATATTCTTGTGCATTTGTTTATTATTAGGCCTACTTTTAAATATATATTAATCGTTGATTTCATGAAGATTTAAGATCTAACATTTAACATCGCTTTCAGCACGCGCCGAACATTTACAGTCGACTTTGATCATCAAACCCTTTGAAATGCGTGCGGCCAAATGTGACGCGCAAGTGTCAGTTTTTGAGGAGCCAAACAGCCGGCACACTTCCACACGACTTCTGTTCTGACACCTCTGGTTTCCTCAGCTCGTTTGTCTGCTCATGCTAATAAATAAAAAGTGCGAAAAGGCGCCACGTGCCTTGGCACCTTGGAGACATCCTCCTAAACAAAGATATTGACATGCAGTATAAAGAGTGAGTGACCAGCGGCTTTGGTTAACTTTTGACTCTGTTTGCTACATTATGTGTCAGATCACAGTGTTTCCATTTCCAATTTCTTTATTTAAAAAATGTCTATAATGAGAACACTTCTTGTGAGCGCATGCGAAGGGAAGTCTAGGATTAAATATCTACTGTTTTGGACACTTTTACTGCTCTCGTGTTGACTATTGTGCAACTTCAAAATCTGGAATAATTGTATTCTGCTGAGCTGTTTTTAAACTCTTGGGAAAAGACTGCTAGACATCAGAGAGACGCTAATGAAGACAAAAGGCTAAACTGTTACCTGGTTTAACACGTCGTGGGCCCGGTATTCTGTCTTGCATGTGTCAAGACCACATGACTCAACGACTGGTACGCGCATTTCCACCTGTTTGAGTCAGAGACGCGTGAGTTTCTTTACGCAATAAACCGTATTATGGCCAGGGGAATGAAGGTCAGATGTCTTTCCCACACTTCAGACTTTCAGGTCGTTAGTGCCCAACCCCCCATCCCACCCCTCACAAAAAAAAGTGGAAGTGGAATTGTGAGTCCCAGTGTTGTTGGTTGTTAGTGATAATGTTTCACAATGTCCACAAGTTTGTTTATTGTTTAGGCTACGCATTTTCTCAATGAAATTTGAAAATATACCAATGCTCAAAAAATTGTATTCGATGTCGAAGAATTTAAATATGTTGCTTGCTCAATGCATTTCTTACTCTCATAATTTATGACGAATCGCTTGTTGTATTCCTCATTTGTAAGTCGTTTTGGATAAAAGAGTCTGCTAAGTGAATAAATGTAGGCTAAATGTAAAACAGGGTAGCCATAGCAGCAGCAGGCACCTTCAGAAATGTAAGCATCTTCATAGAAATCATCTTTGCGTATAATGTATACTGGCATTGCGAACCATTAACGGATTAGTTATTTAATTTTTCTTTCTTTTGTTAACAAATAAATACCCCTCACAACTGAGTGGTTGCAGACACACAATAGGCTATAGGCTAATGAAAAGAAACGACTGTAAAAGAAGAGGAAGAATCTAGCGTAGCGTTAGTTCTGGCAGGTCACGTTAGTCAAGCTCACATCAGCTGATCCACATCAACCTATGGGAATACGACACCTATCTAAGTGTTCATATATAAAAGGTCCCGCAGTAGTATCAGCAGTTTTCGCATTGCTCAATAGCTAATTACCCTCCTCCATCCCCAACTCCTCCTCTGTCAGTAACGTTTCAGCCTTCTGATTCTCCTTTGTATCAGACTAATTCTAAAATGTGTACATAACATTATTGAACTTTAACGATATCTGCAATACATTTATGTTGGTTCTGTTCTGTTTACCCTGGGGGGGGTTATCGCTGCTCTCCCTGCTGTCATCCATGCTAGGCTGCATGGATGCGTAGGGAGTTCTTGCCCAGAACGGAACTAAACCACAAATCCAAACTGTATGCTAATTGTCAATCATCTTTGACGATAGTGGTCCTGACAGAAAACACATCATACGTGACAAATATAATTGCATTGCTTTGCGAATGTACATGTAATTAGGACATTGTATTCACAAATCTCATCATATCACAGCACAAAGTAACCACTATTTATTATTATTAATGAGACCCATACAAAAACGTCTGAAGGTCAAGTTGGCATTTATGGATGCTTGGCAGATTGAACATTTAAAGTGGTCTCATTTAATAATACTATAGATTAATATTAGAGATTAATAATGGTGTTTTATTCTAGAAGAAGGTAACAAAAGTTGTAATCCTAATGTAAACAGTTTAGGATTGGGGTTAAATTTATGACTTGCTTTATCAATATGATTAAAGATAATGTTTATTATAATGTTTATAATGTTTCAGTGACTGAAATATTCACAAACTGATACAATTAGATAAATAAAGCTGATAAATAGCCACAGAAATGGTTAGCATATACACAAAAGTAAAACAGAGAGGTCTTAGTAAAAAATCAATCAATCAATCAATCAATATCAACAACAAATTAGAAGGAATAATATTTTGAATTTTGATGTACTCTTCTCTAGTACCATTGATATTGCAAGTTCCTTGATTTATGACCAAAATATATCTATCAGTTGTTCCAAATAATATGAGGTGAATTGTTTACATTTCCATATGCCTACTCCTTAAAAATCATATTAGGAATCCAAAACCATACTGCTTTTGCACACATACATTTTTAAGGCATTTTAAGCCTCTCTCTGCAAGAGAGATATAAATTTTCCATATGAATTTAAAACATATCTACATGTGCTAAATTCAACATAAAGATATGTTGCAGGATAAACAGAGCGAGACATTTCATCTAGGGTAGCCACAAGTTTAAAATCTTTTTAGCACAGTGTAATTTGGGATGCACATTTTGAATGATTGATACCTCAAAACAATGCATGTGTTATAGTTAACTGAGTAATGTGTTCCCACCTTCATCAACACCAGAACAATGCACGACTTAAAAATATAATAATCTTGCAGCCAAATAATAAAAAAGGGGATATGGGACATTCATATTTAATACCTAATACATTTAATACCAAATCATGATGAAATATGAATTGGCAAGAGCTACATGGCTGTTTATTTCATTGTAGAAAGTTTTAGTTTTATGTTGTACTGTGTGACATCTGTATTTTATCAGAATAATCGAAATAATGTGAATGTTATTTGATACACTATTCACAAAAAGTTAGGGATATTCGACTTTCGGGTGAAATTTCAGAATGCACCTAAAATGCACTGTAACATTTACAGGTCTAAACCTTCTCTAAACCTTGAATGTCCGACTGTTAAATGTTTCGGTGCTTATTAACATGCTGTTCTCTAACGAGGTGATTAACCGCAAAAATCACAACAAGTGTCTGATCCATGAATTGACCACTAAATGTTCTGGTTCAATGACAATTTGTATTTAAACAGTCCTCTTCATCATGCTGTTCACATTTTGACATCATGAGACCAAGACGACACCTAACAATTTATCAACAGTACCTGGCCATTGTGAGGCTTCAAATGGGATGTTCTCAGAGGGAAGTTGCCACTGAGCTTAAAGTGTCACAGAGTGTCATCAGCAGGTAGCAACAGAGACACAGAGAGACTGGAAGAGTCACAGAAAGACATAGAAGTGGACGTCCTTTGGCCACATCCCATGCTGATGACCGCTTCATTGTGAACAGTGCCCTGTGGAACCGGATTATGAATGCCACTCAATTCCAGGCACATTTAAGGGACGTGAGAGGCACCCGAGTGTCACGTCAGACCATAAGAAACCGCTTACATCAGCATGGTCTGCGTGCTAGATGACCTGCAAGGGTACCTGACCACACCACCAGACACAGGAGTCATCGTCAGGGAGCATTTGCGCTGGACGAGGGACCAGTGGGCCCCAGTGCTGTTCTCTGATGAAAGTCGATTCACATTGAGCAGAAATGATGGTCGCCAACGCTGTTGTCAAGGAGAATTCTATGCATTAGCCACTGTTGTCTGGTGTTACAGTCTGGGCAGGTGTCTAGTCAATACAGAACTGCCCTACACCTTGTGAATGGTACTCTGACAAGCCAATACTTGAATAACATTATTAATCCAGTCATTGTGCCTCTGCATGAGCAACATGAGCAATCGGTTTCCTTACTTTTTCCAAGTAAAGACAGTCAGGACTGCTGAGAGGATTATTGGTGCCCCTCTACCCAACCTCCAAGAACGTTACATCTCCAGAGTGAGGAAAAGGGCTAAGAAAATCACTCTGGACCCCTCACACCCAGCCCACCCTCTCTTTGAACTGTTGCCCTCTGGCCGGCGCTACAGAGCACTGTGCACCAAAACAGCCAGACACAAGAACAGTTTTTCCCCCCAGGCCATATCCCACCTGAACAACACATAACACACCTCAGTACTGCACATCTGTAAATAACTCATTAAACCTCCATCTGTAAATAGCACATATGCACATTCACAGTTCTGTCTATGGACATTTTTTTTCCTTTTTCTGTATATATTTTTTTATTACTATTGTTATTTATAATTTGTCTATTCTCTCATTTTATGTATGCCTGCACTTTGTTTGTACTTTCTGTAACGGAAGCTCCTAACACCAAGACAAATTCCTTGTGTGTGTGAACACACTTGGCAATAAAGCTCTTTCTGATTCCGATTCCGATTCTGATTAAACCCCATTCACTGCCATTATAAAGCTTGGCAGAGCCAGGACATTTTTTGAATATACTGTAACTCTGATTGTATTCTTACTTACTTAACTTTATTGTCC